CAAACTTTGAGCGTTTTTGTATCCAAGTTAAAATTATTCATTGGCCTTTTGTTTGTTTAACCACACACACTGCTGCCAAAAGCATTAGTGTCTCTACATGCGTACAGATTTAAGTGTTCTTTGTGACCCATAAGAGCTGCAGGGCACAGAGAACCAGAAGCCTCCGTCGCCAGTGTTTATTTGTGGTAAAGGTCAGTGTGCGCACATTTCCAGTGTCTTTGGTATTTACCTCAATTTGCAAACACGTAAGCATGTGCACACAAGCAGTCAAACTTGATTGCATTTACTGTACTGTATGTAAATACAGAAATATTCAAAACATTATGCAGCTCTGTGTTTGCATCTGTAAAATTTAATCTAGATATGCCGCATGCTGCCACAGGCACTAAGGTCATATATATATATAGATATATATATATATATGAACACATGCACTAAAATTTGTAAGCCCCAGTGTGATAAGGATCCTTTGAAAAATTACTATCTATTCTGTTTAAATGTGTACAAGAGGAGCTGAGTGACCAAATCATTGAACCATGAACTTGGTTAGTGTCGCTTTTGCAGGTCCATTTATCACCCTCAATGCTGTGATATTAGAAACCCCAGAGAGGCTGGGATATAAGAGGCAGACATACCACTCCTCCTCTCCCTGCTTCTATGGAGAACAGAAGCCTGATTCTCCCACCTGCAAAGTCTCCATCTGCTCTCCCTGCACAGCACAAAAAACACAAAAGCTCCGTAACCCAACACACAGTCAAACCAACCTTGATTGTAATACTCGCTGACAGTTTGTATTTGACACAGGCGTATCCTCATGATGCTTTGCAGCGGCTACAGTTGTCTCCAGAATAAATGCATTTTCTGTCTTTCCGAATTACATTCAGAACGTGTTTCACATTATATCTCAACTCTTTAAGCTGGTAATCTGCAGTGAATCAGTGTAAGAGATGGTGTGGCACACAGACCTGGAGAGGAAAGATAGTGAGTGTAGGTTTTTGGTCCAGCATTAGTTATTCATGTGTATCTGCTCTAAAGAAAAAATAAATAAATAAAATCCCCAACTACCCCCCAAAAAGTAAAGTAAAAACGTAGCAACATGTAGTAGATATGAACAGCCTCTGGAGAGGAGATTTATGGGACCTCCATGAAGTGAATCTTCCAACAGTGATAGAGGAATGAGGCCACTTTAAATCCTGTTACTATGTGATCAAAAGTCATTTTCCACTATGGATCCTCCAGCCACAGTGCGATCCTGTAAAGACAAACCTGAACTCCTGAGAAGTATTGGCGGGTGACAATGGTGAGAGCACGAGGGGCATATATTTCTCTTCATTAGGAGATAAATAATGCAGGGGAATCATATGAATAATTTTCTCCCTAATGGATATTGCATGCTGAGAAAGGATTTCCAGTTCCACTTTTTAAAAATTTAGCATGTGAAATGATGCGTCGCTATGTGACAAAGTGATTTTTCGGGCCAAGAAGAGAGTAGCGCAAATGCATCAGAAAGCTTTAAAAGAAAAAGAAAAGCGAGATTGAGGGAAGGAAGAAGGAATGATAGAGGGATGGGGCATCCTCCGAGTCAGACAGCATCAAATTGTTTGTCAGGGTTAAACAGAAACACCAACACATCTGATGTAACTGTCAAAAGTTTGGGGTGATTATTTAAATACTGCTCTACTAAACTAGAGCTGAAATTCATTTGAACACCTCGATAGAGCCCTCAGATTGTGCACATGTCCACACTTTTCCTATTTTTCCCTTGATCTGTTTTGTGTCATTTATATAAATCTCCTATAACTTTGGTTTTCCAAGAGATAAATGTGAATTGTTGTGATAGGTGGCCACGACAACTCAAATACAACCCTGAAAATTGTTACTCTTTATATATAAGTGCAACTGCATTTACAAGATATAGCCTTTTATTTGTGAAATTCAGTCTTTGATTAGAAATCAATACGGAAAATGCTGACCATATGGTTGCCGAGTGTGGAAATTTCATTTCGCATCTGTCTGAATGAAGAATTCCTCATACTTTATTCTCTTCATCAAAACTGAGATGGCACATCACAGATTGCATGTGCGTTGGAAATGCAGCCTGTCACCAGCGCATAGGATAGGAAGCATGACAACCTATGGAAATTCAAATAGCATATCCAATAATACAGCCTCTTTCATAATATTGAGATGGACGGATGATTTTAAACACAATAAAATGGCTCATCTTGCCGTCAAAATGGTCTTAAGTCGTGGTGACACATCTGCAAAGATGTAAAGAGAAGTAAAAAAGCACAGGCACACAGTTAGCTGGAGAGCCTCCCTAAAAAGGACGCAGACTTCTTTCAGCCCCTGTGATCCCAACCTGCATTCAGCAGCATGACATACAATATGCATATGTTATCAAAGAAAAAAATCTGCCATGAAACTTTAATGAACGTAGAAATAGAGGGAGCAGTGCAAAAGAGAAGCTGATTTGCTTAAGGCAATGTGGAACTGTTTTAGTGAAGCGTAACGGACACGAAGGAGGAAACCTGGGAAAAGAACAACTGCTATAGGCATTTGCATTTCACATGTGAGCACAAGACTGCAATTATACATACCACTAAGTAAGGACATGGCTGCAATCCACAAAACAAATTTCCATGCTCTGAACAGAGCCACAGCTTGCCTGGGGACTTGGCAGCTCAGGTGGCAAGCATGGTTAATTTCACTGTATGAGAAGTTGTAAGCTTTAGTCTACATGGTCAGCAGCAAAACGCCGCTTTCCCATCACTAGACACTAGATAGATCTTATTTGTTGTCCTTAGACTATAGTCTCTTAATCTTATTCTAATTGCAGCACAGTTTTCCATTCTCCACTTATTTATTTTTTAAAGACAGACAGCACAATTCAATGCACAGCACTGATTGGGAGAACTGTCCTAGAGCAACAGCAAAGTTTGACCCCCGCCTACATTCAACCTATTTTGAAATCAGATTGCCCCCCGATTTACCTCCACACACCAGACAGCATTAGTCCGCACTAGGGCTGGAGTTGCTAGGCAACTGAAGACACTTGCTGCAGACTGAAATGATTCTTTGATTCAAGGAAAGATCTTATATAATGCCTTACAGGGGAGAAATTTTTATATAATTGCATAAAAATTGTCTTTGTAATTAGAAAGAGTGTAATGTTATGTCAGTTGGCACAACACTGCGAATAAGAGCGCAAGCTCACTCAACATGAAACGGCGAAATCACTGAAATATATTTCCCTTCAAGCTACTTACTTTGCATAAAGTAGCTTTGCTCTCATGAATGTGGAGAGTAAAATACACACATTCACTTCATGATAATAGCTGACTGAATGCTGTGCTAGCTGGCTAGTATAGCCATTAATGTATGGCTCATCACTGATTGATATGTTAATACAAAAAACCAAAAATATATACATTGTGTTCAGTTCATATGTGTTAATTGTGTTTTTGTATAGGGTAAATCATAAATCTAAGCAATTAGAGCGCATGACCCAAGTGCTGCAATTAATTGTGGTATTTTTAATTAGCCCTTTATTTCCATTCATTTACATCCTGCTACATTTATTTGGTGCACGCACCATCACTTCTGGTCATATTTGTTTGCCAGTGTTAACAAATGCTCTAATACTGCACTGCACCAGCTATCCACTGTGCAAAACACTAGACTGTTTCAGTAATATGTTAATTGTGGTCCATTGAGTTGATATAATATGTGGGTAGTCTCAGACACCGGTAATTACCATTTTCTATATGCTTCTCGGTGCTACAGAGACCCATGGGAAATTACCAGGGTTAAAGGTCCAGCGGTGAGAGCTCCATGCTGTGGGTGACCCAAAGAAGCTTCCAGCAAATGAAGGCAAACTGGCTGCAGGGAAATATGAAGCGTTATATGTGCCTGGATTATCTAAGTCATGAGTGAAGAAGCTCATAAATATGCATATTCATCATCCAGTGCTGCATCCTTCTCACAGAATCTATCATGAAGATTAATGGATATTATTCAGTCATTCATGATTTACCGTAAGTTAGCGTTTCAAACGTGGGCAGACAGCACCACCAACTGACTTTAAGTGAGACACTGCTTCATTGTAACAGTCTCACAATTAGCTTTAGGGATGTTTTCTTAATTTTTTTAACCACCTCTATTGTTGCTTTACATTTACTTTAGCTGCTGTTTTCATTTTTTATTAATACTACAAATGCTATAAGTTCAAGGGTCAAGGTCAAGTTTATTTATATAGCACATTTCCAAACAGTTCATGCTGGACAAAAGTGCTTAACAATGTAAAATGCCACTAAAAGAAGTAAAATGTAAAACAATGATGCAGTAAAATGTAGAAAATAAATAAATAAATGAAATAAGTCAATAAAAAAAATATAAAGTCTGATCTCAGACTGAAAGGAGTTTTGCAAAGTTGATGCCAGTAAAGGTATGCACAAATGCAATCACATTCGATGCAAATGAGCTAAAGGATAGGTAAAAATGTGGATTTACTCAAATATATAATTAATATTTAACTTCATAATCAAAGGTTTGTTGCGCTGATGCAGATGCAGTCTAGTAAATTATCACTAGATGGCACTGCATGACCAGTAGTGAAGCAAAAGCAGACTAGTGCAGTGAATGCAATTAAAAAAAAAGGTTGCATAATACAGTAATTCTCAGATACCGATCTCATACAAGCTGTGGGAAGTAATGCTATTGTCACTGAGACTTTGAAGCACGTTAATTTACAGTCTGACCTCCATTCACATGCTGCAAACACACAAGCAGTTAATATAATTAAAAACAAAGCGTTTGTGCTTTCTTGTCCATTAATATGTTTAATTCCTGTTTGTATTTTCTACTTTGACTCACTGAAAAACAACAAATTCTCCAAAATATTTTTAATCTACTACACATGTTCTTCAAGTTGACACATGCAGTCTAAGCACAACACGAAATGTTTAACTTTATCGATCTATAAATCAGACTCTTAGAAATTAGAGATGAATTGTGTCTGCTTCGTCAGTGTTAAAGCTCTTGTGATGCTCATCTGTCTTACTGATGGAGCTCTCTTTCATGTAGCGGTCGGTGGGGTTGCGCTGCAGCAGTGACAGGCTCTGGTTCCTCAGCTCTTTGTTCATGCAGAGCAGTATTATGGGGCTGAGGAGAAGAGGCAGGTCGAGCAACAAGTCTCTAACCATCTCATGACACACAGAGGGGTGATCCATTAGTGCAAACACAGCACCTATAGCACAAAAGAAATACGCAGACAATGGCAAATACAAGCTTTAAAATTGCTTTCATTTTTAATCCTATAACAGATGGTAAGAAAGAAAAAACAAACACAGAAAGATTTTTCCAGCTAGTAAAATTAGGCTAAATGTTTAATTTATTTATTTAAATTAATTAATATATGCTGTCCTGATGATTATTCTGTTTGAAACTGTGTTCATGAATATTAAAGAGAAAACAAGTGCAACCGGCGCCATTTTTATTTTATCCATTTATACAGCTTTCATAAATGAAATAGGGTCATCTTATTAAGTTTAGAGTCTATACATGTAGCTGTGAGAGTGTATCTGTTATACTTTGGAACTGAGCTCATACTCAAAAACATTTCCTACTGGTCCGACTGAAATGAAATGAATAATTACGCTTTACTTTTGTAATTGTTTTGCAACGGAGAGACAGCAGAAACTACATGTACATTAAATAAATTAAGTACATTAAGGAAACACTAAGTAAATATAAAGAATATGTGTGTTATTTACATATTATTTATATATGTTATTTATTTTACAGCTTCCACAATGAGGGAAGACTGAACAGAATTGGTGCAAAGTACATTTGAAAAGTTATTGAAGTTTAAAGAATATTCCAGTGTTATAAATTTTCAGCTTGACATGCCTTTGCAGGGCTCTGTTGGGGGGGGATCTGTCCTTTTACTTTCTAGACTGCTAAAGCTTCAAATTACCTGGGGAAAGTTGTGGGAGACTCTAAAAGAACTGCTGATTTATCTTCAGTCGCTTTGAAATTGATTAATCAGGATGGGAAATGGACAAATAACTGTTACGCTGACTGAAAAGTATTTTTTCAACATATAGACATAAGAAATGTGGACATTTATCCAAAAGAGAGTCCGAACATGCTAAACAATCTGAAAGTAACTTCACTTACCAGGTATATGTGCTGTGAAGGTAATGAGAGATATGAGGCTGAACACCTTTGCAAGCTGAACGTTAACTGTCTGACTCCTGTTCATCAGTTTAGCACTTTTGACGATCGTGTGTAGAATGTGAGCATAGAAATACAGGATTAATGGCAAAAACACAACAGTCTTCACCAGTAAGAGGATCCTCATAACTTGATCGTTAATAAAAGAGAAACAGGTGAGGTTGACGGGATCCAGGTGATCCACGCTGGTACCTAAGAGTTTCACAGCAATCTCCTTCAGGCTCACTGGAAGCAGAGGAAAGAGAAGCTCTAGGGCTAGGAAAACCCTGCTGTCAACCAGGTGCCTGCAGCCACATACCACTGTCAGGTAAATAGAGAAGGTAATGAAGGACACATAATGAAAGGATGCAGAGCTCGTCAGGTGTTTGGCGCTCACCATGACTTCACACAAGTGAGAGCCCAGCATCCACCGGCCGTGCTGCCTCCAGTGAATGATCATGGGCCACAGACTCAGGTTGACAAGGTTGCAACAGGTGCTTCCGAGGATGAACATCGCCACGTTGCTCCTTATCTTGCCCCGCCGGCTGAGCAGACAGGACACAATGGAGACCAAAATAAAGATATTCAAGCCAAAGGCAGGTACCAGAAGCAGAACCTTAGAGGAAGCACAAAGGTTTAGGTAGACAGAGATGGCACACAGTGAAGAAGACGTTTCATTCATGGCAGGCAGCAGGTAAAAGAGATGATTGTGTGAGCAAAAGCAGATGTGAAAGGCTATTTTTTCCTCCCATCAGACGATAACATAAATATGCTTGCAATACCCTGGGGGATTTTTAATAAGGACAGAAATATAGATAATGCAACACGTGAAATGCAGACTCATGTCCTAATCATGTAAACATGTTTTCTTCCTCTGCCTTACTTCTGCACCCAATCACCTTGACTTTTGCTTCCTCTGAAATGTATTGTTTCTAAGACAGTCACCCAGTGGACCTAATTATATGGGATTCAGTTCATAATCCCTTTCCTCAAGTTATAATCCTCCAGGAAAACTGGAACTTTAGCTGCTGTGCACCAACTTGAAAAATGGATGGGACATGATATACAGTCATTTTCCCAGTGATTTTACAGTGCTTTCCTCTGCTTTTATCAGATGCTTACAGACCACAAAACATCTTTTATTTGCCCCATTTTCTACTTTGTTTTCCCTAACCTCGGAAAGCTTTTACTAGTGATCACTCATGCATTACCTTCAGCCCCTATTACCAATATTCTTATTCATTCCTGACACCATATAAGGAGGTTTTGCTCACGTACCTATAATATTCTGTCCATGAACTGTCAGGGTTTGTTAAATCTATGTTGTGTCTAATTTATTATCTTGTGATCTACACGTCATTACCCAGCAGCTTCCTTGCGGTCTACCAGTGCAGAAACATTACTAATGAGACTGGAAAACGCATTTGTTTACTTCTCTGGGGCTTTATTAATGTGACACAAAATCTGGCTGACTAAGTAGCTAACCATTCTGACATTACCCCGAAAACACATAAAACTGGCCCCTGTACATGAACACAGTGATATTTAGTAAATGTTTGATACAGTGTTGAATTTAATGACTTATGTTGCTATGCTGCTTTCCCCCTGTAGTCTGGTTTAGGATCAATCACATGGTGAACTGAATCTCCCTCAGGCGCTTTGTATTTACTACTACTTAAAAGTGTTAGCATGCTAACAGGAGCACGTTAACATTATAAACATATAATAGCTGATATATAACTGCCTGTCTGTGTTGTTATAGCATTCATATTTATTATGATGTAAAGATCTTTATGTACAGAAGCTTAAAACACACCACATCTCAAAAGTTTGAGGCACAGTCACACTGTAGCATAAAATCGGACAACAACGTTCTTGCAACTAGGAAAAACTTATGGTTGTGTTGATTTTTTTTTTTTTTTTCCAAATTTGGCGTACTACTTTCTCCTGGTGGGAGCCAACTTGTATCCAAACAATCACAGTCTAACTTGGTCAGACTGCAATCCCTATTGCACAGACTAATAAATGTTTGCAAATCATCACTGTCTGATATATAAATGCAAGATTCCTGCCAACATGTTGCAATCAATCTATGTCAGTCTGCACTGCTAAATGCAACTCATCTGCAAAATGTCTCTTTGCAATAGGGACACAACTCAACTGGTTGATTATATTAACATTTAAAAGTAAAGTTGCCAGGCATTTATATCCTTCTGCACACAAATGGCTGTCGTGCATGTGAATTTGCGATGTTTTACTGATTTATTACAGTTAATAACCATATTATCACAAACAAATTGCACGTAATTGCCAACTTGACCTCATTTAAAGGCAAAGTGATAGCATCATGTTTCCAGCTTACCTTTGTCTTTTCCCACCAAAGTTGCTTTGAAGGTGGCAACCGACTGTCTTTGACGCAACCATTTCAAAGCCAGCAAAATCACAATTTCATTGCACACATTTGCAGTCACTTTATTCGTACTGCGGTCTCCAAGCGCTCTTTTCCATTGTGTGATTGTAGCATGTAGAAATGTCTTTGTTATTGAAAGAAAGCACATCTGCTTTGGTCTAATGTAGCATGAAATTGATAAGAAATGCTTCAAAAGACAACAAATAATGTAATCATTAATCAAAAAGTATCCATTAGAATTTTTTCCAAACATCTTTGAAGCCACGAGGATGTGTGTTTTCTGCAAATATCACAGTGTCCCAGTGGTATATATTGTTACCTAATGCAAATTTATCTTGATTCAATTCAGTTTCGTTATGCTAGCAATGCTAACTGCTCTGTTGATTAAAGAAGCAGTATGTTTAGAGTGCGTGGGGCATGATATTATTTTTTAATGTTGTAAGAAATAAAAACTGTCATGTGAAGCCAATAAATAAATAAGATTACTTACAGTAATGTGTGTACTACTCCCTTCATGGCTTTTGTTTAATAAGGCTACCGGTTTATTTCACTGACACAAAATTTATTAACCTGCTCATTACTTCTTATTTCAATTGATGTTACGCCTCATAAGCGATTATATGTATATATTTTTAGAAGGTTTAGTGAATACTTCAGGTTCTTGTGTAATTGGTCATAATGAATAGGCCTGTCACGCTGCTATTCACTTGGCATCACAAGTAATTACTTGCATTAGCCTTGAGTTGGATTTTCCAGCTTTTAACCAAGATTGATATTTAGCACGCTCAAAATAGAACTGAAGGGTAGAGAAGCATCGCAGTGGTCACAAAGTGTTATTCAAACTTATAAGTAAATGGTGAACGCTATCAGGTTGTCACCCTGAGGGATTCAGCTTCTACTCCCTCCACCAGTGGATGCTCAGAAGACTGACAGACAAGCAGACAACAGAAGTGCCGTTGCTGAAATTGATTGAAAATCAGAGATGCTTGCAGGAGCGGTTTGATCTAAGCAGACTGCAGAATGAGGGATTGGAGGTACAGAAAATGGAGATAGAGGAACAGAGACAAACAGAGAAAGACAGGGAGATAGAGAGAAGGAGTGCTGTCAGTCAGTCACGAGAAAGAAAAAAAAATTGCCCCCAAGGTGACAACTCCTTCCATGAGATGGTTTTCCACCGAGGGTAATGGAGCTTAGGGCTTGTCACACAAAAAGCAATTTATAGCTAAGCCAACTGAGGTCTGAGAGATACAAAATTTCTCCATGTGTCAAATATTTTCTGAAACAAATTGTGCTGTGTCAGGCCTGTAGATTTCCACCTGAGGCCCACAATACTCTGATGAATACATGCCGCTTTCAGAAGAAGTTCAAGTCGCTAGAAGCTGTAAAGCAGGCATGCTGAACACATTCTTAAGAATACAAAATTCCTCTATCACTCAACGTACCCACAGGATCCCTCTTCTCTGCAAATATCATTTTAAACTCCACAAGTTAATTAATTAGAGTGGTTGCTATCACACAGCGTTCCTGCTCTGTAGTTGCAGAAACTTAACAATAAAGTTAATATGAGCAGAGTGCCAATTAAGCACGAATATCTCATGAACTAATCCTTACCCTAACAGAGCCCAAAAGAAAACAAACCCAAAAGGCAACCCAGGCAGTAGGAAAAACACTTTGCGATTATAGTGTAAAAAACTAGCACTGTATGTATTTGGTGCCATCTGTGGTGGTTGGAACGCTGAATCTAATTTTGATGAGAAGATTATCATCTTGCACCTTAAAACTGTCTAGTAGTGAGCCAATAAATCCCGACGAGGGTAACAACTGGTCCCTTTCCAAGTTCTTGTTTGGACGAAAATCCAAAAAATATGGCTGGCCTAGCTGAATAGGATTTAATGTTGCTTCCAGGGAAATGAAGAGACTTGTGCGGAAATCTCTCAAGCATACACACCACTCTCCAAATCACAGACTTCATTCTTTGATCTCTCTGCCAATTTCCTAAGCTTTTGTTTTGAAAAAAAAAAAAAAAAAGACAATGTTGTAGGGAATCACGCTCGTGCAGAAGATGGTGGTAAACTCTCAAGAAGGCTTTGATAAACAACACGGTTAACTGCTTCAATCACATGCTAATTTTAAGTGAGTGGACCTGGTGTTATGATAGTCCTTTCTCTTCAATTATATATTATGATCATCATTATTATTATTTGTTTATTATATTAGAACAGTCTTACTCCACTAACTGTGGTAACATGCACTGTTGCAAAGTGTAAGTCTTATCGCTGCCCTGTGTGCTTGGAACTATCTGGGAACTCAGCCCTTAAATCAGATTCTCTGCAGCACAATTCTCATTCGACCTTCAGTCCTTTTTCATCAGTGTCTCTACCACTGCCTGAGCCTGCCATGTAAATTCTTATGGATTCGGGCTCCGGAGTGTCTCTCTGTGTGGGCTGGTGTTAAAGTCTGTGAAAAAACCTCAAGGACAAAGGCAGGTAGAATAAACCAAAGACATCTCACACATTTTAATAATCATCTCTCTCAACTGTGCCAAGTGTGGCCGGAGAATTTGTGTGGTGTGAAGATCAGGTCGAAGAAGAAAGGGAGGGGAGTAGCATGCTAAAGTCTCTCTGATGAAACCATCATCTCTGATTTGAGATGGCCCCAAGCAATTGTTATGGTTACTGTGTGCTGTGAGAGCAGAGTGTTGTGTGATTAATGGCATATAATGTGGCCGTAATAGGAAAACAGTCACATTGGGCCTGTCGTGGAGTTAAGTCTTTTTTTTTTAAGCCAGGGATTAGATCTGCTTTTTTTCCTGCTCCGGTGGCTGTGCAACTGAATGTTTTTAATTTTTTTGTCTTTTAAATTTAAAGTAGGCTGATAATTGGTATCCAAAAAAAAAAAAAAAAAAGACCCAGAGTGGACATATATTTCAAACTTGGCTCACTGGAAACAGTGGTTGTGGATTTGCTAACTTGATGACTTTGTTTAGATGATGTTTGGACAAATATTTTGGTGATTCATAAAGCCTTGAGGTTAAAGTTAGGGAAATATCTGCATGCTTAGAAATACCAATTGTTGACTGTTTTGGAGGTAATGAGATGGAAAGC